TTCATTCATTCATTCACCCCTTCATTCATCCATTCATTCAGTCATTGTATAATTGCAGGTATTATGTTGCTGAAGGTGTAAGAATATATTCCCAGCAAACCTGGAAAATGGTCATGGGTACTGAAGGCAAGCAGTTGGTAGAGAAATACATCAAAGAAACGGTATGTGTGATGAGAACAATGTGGCTTGTTGCACTATAATTTATACCAATTCCAGTAGGTATCTTGGGGTTCCTGTTGCATAAGAAATTAGAGAGGGAATGAGGGGGTCAATACTCCAGACGACCACAGGTAAACCAGCACAAGCAAAGCCCAAAACACTCAAAAAGAACACATTCCTGTGAGTCTTAGAAAGCGCTGAAGGTAGAGTAGAGGACTGGGGACTTGTAGAGATGGGTTATTTTTAGATATCCACAGGGAGACCATCATAAACATCTTCACAATCTTTTGTTTAGGTTGATTTTTACATAAATCAAACTAAAGCTGATAACCACGCTGTGCGAGAAGCTGCATGCTCGTGTATTGCTGAACTAGGAATTAAGGTACAGTATGAATTCTTTTATAGTACAATACAACACAATAAACTTTATTAAAGGAGGGTGACACAATTAACCCAGAAGTTATCTAACACGTGGCCCTCACGTCTCCTCCTTCCCATCTTCTCCTTCGCATTATCCTTACTGCATCTATAGCTAGTGAACGTGCGTCAAGCTGTAACCGTTTTTTCCACCATCATATGTCAACATTATTTTCATCTTAAACACCAACACCACTAGTGTAGTTCAGTTTAACGAGTTTGCCAGGTCTACACAAATTGAAATGATAATTATTAAATAATAACAATAAACAATCAAGTAAAAAAAGGGCGTGGCAGGAAAAAGGTTGGAACTTACATCACAAATACAACCCAGCCCTTATCATCTTCATGACACCCTCATCTCTTTTCGTTATTACCAGCACCACAATGATGATCGTTATTTATATTCTTTCTGCCAATTATCATCATCAGACCTGAAATAACCTCCAGAAACAATATGATTTTTTTCTAATATATTTTCATTCATTATTGGTTTTTGCTCTTTTTGTTCACAAGGTCAACCCTGATTGTACTAGGACATATGTGAAGGACCTTCTGGACGCCCTGATCGTTTGCTTCAAAGATGACAGCTGGCCTGTCAGAGATGGTAGGTCTCTAGGTCTACACTGCAGAATATCTGTATGTTCACGGAGCTTGAACCTGGACCACAGCCGTAAGATGCGAGCGACATACCACTACGCCCCCAACGCCATGCAAAACATTGCACCACAACAAACAAAGCCTATTACAGCAAGACATAACATAAAATATGGAGTTCAGTGAGGCGGAGAAAAGATAGAGAGAATCTGGAAGAAAATATTAATATATATCGTGTGGTGGTATCTTATTCTAATATTACTATTGTCGTTTTTTAGCTGATATAGTACTCTATATTTTTCTTTTCTTTTCATAGCTGCTTGTGTTGCATGTGGTAACTTCATTCTGTGCTTTCCCGAAAAGTGCAAGTAAGTACAATGAGAATATACTCTTTACTCTATACTTCAGTTACAAATGATGAAAGCTCTTTTATGCTAACCTCAAATTGAAGCTAATACTGAATAAAACCTCTTTTATCTTGTATTCTTAGATCCCACATGGAAGAACTCTACCCACTGTTTTTTACCAATCTTGAAGATAATATCCCTTCAGTGCGACAAGGAGCAGCAATATCCCTTGCAAACGTCGTTAAAGCATATGGTACAGTAAAACTGTTAGCCATGTACTGGTTTTCTCCTGTTTGTTCAAGTATTGTTACAAGTATTTTTTAATATGTATGTCTATGGGAAAAGCAAGGTATTGTCTTACAGCACGTTGACGGACCGGTATCAATAACAGTGAAATTGCTTCCCACACGAATGGTTATCATATGAATGAGAAACATACGGCAATGACTTAGCACGTAAAGGGTACGAGATGCTGTAACATTTGAATGGCTTCCCATTAAAATGGTTATTATATGAGGGAGAAACGAGAGGCACTGACATACAGCACGTACACGTAAACACATGCCATAACATTGAAATGGCTTTCCATAAGAATGGTTATCATAATGTTTCCCACTCAAACGCACTCCTCATACGATAACCATTCTTATGGCAAGCCATTTCAATGTCACTGTACAATTTAAATGTTAACCCTTTTTCCGCAAATGAAACCTAGTTTTTGAACACATTCATTATCGCAGGTAAAGAAGAAACGGCCGTTGTATTCCAGAAAGTAAAGAGCGGGCTAAAAGAAGTAGAAACTCAGAAAGAAAACACTGAAAAGTAAGTTTGTACGTCTTTAAAACCTCATTGAAAAATGACTGGAATAGGAGGTTTGCATGAGGGCGCCTTTGACCTCTACTAACAGACTCCCTTGCACACTTTCTTTCGTTCAGTATTTAGCACCAATTATCTTACTATTCTCATGAGGGAATACAAATTTAAATAAGAAAGAAAATCCGCAAAGCATTATGGTAGTGGGAGTCAAGTGACGCCATCGTGCAAACGTCCTATTTGTTTGGAATGTAATGGTGATGTTTTATTTAACAACAACGTTCCTTCAGCTAGTATAGCTAGTATTCCTGGGAACTGCCGTGACGGTGCGCACTTTACCTCCTCTCTCCATCAGTGCTCAGTTTTAAGATTATATTCAAAGCTGATTAGCTACACCGGCTTGGATTTTCAAAGACACTTGAAAGCCCTGAGAAAATATAAGACTATAAATGACTACGTCCTTTCCAGTTATATAGTAATAGACTGAATTCAGTGTCGATTGGGTAAAGGTCGTTGCATCGTTTGGGTGAGGAAAATGCTATTTTTACTTGAAAACTATAATACTGAATTCTTAGGTACTCTGGTCTAGAGAAGGGTCCAGCCACGTTCGGCGTGGTAAAGAAATTAAGAGACAACGACATGGAACTACATACTAACAAACAGGTAAGTCATTAATGTAATAATTACAAATAGGCAAACAGATTGAAAGCCGACAAGAATGACACATTACGATAAAGTTTTTTTTGCGAAAAGGTACAGTTTTGGTGATGTACGTATTACCTATTGCCAACCAAAAGGAATCCCAATCTCCTGAGAATCGGAACCTATTGCTTTGTCCCCCAGATTGAGCTGCTTTGACGTCACATGCAAGGGGTCTATAGGAGGCCAAAACAAAAAGAAAAAGTACGTTTTCAAAACGTCAGGGCAGCGTTCTTATAAAAATACCAGAATGACAGGACCAGGATCCAATAAGGCAAAAATAAGAACTGGGTATGAAAATGAACAGATAATTTTAGGGCATTATCCAACAAAAATAAAAATCGGTTTGTGTCAAAACCAAAAATCATCTCGCACATAGCACACAAGCCACTTTACCTATGTCTTAAATAACACAGTCTTCCACTTGTCGTTGCATGTGCAAGATACCTATGGATTAGCTCCGAAGAAGCACACACGACCTTAGAATATAATCCATAGCTTTAATTTTTGATTTTTGTAGATGTATTCGTGTGGTTCTTTGGCCCCAAAAATGGGACGAGGAGGAGGATGCATGGATCACTTATTTAAGAGACCACCGGAGCCATGGGAAATAACCGATGGGTGAGTGAATATACTTACAACTGGAATACAACTGTACTCCAGGTTCGAGTTATCTGTTGCTCAGGGTTAGCCTCGATTGTGTAAAATATTCTTGTGTTCCAGTGAAGGTGGAATTTGAAAGTGTTTGTATTATTAAAGTTGTGCATTCTTCAATTTACTGTTGGTATTTGTGAATATTTAGACCCTGATTCGAGGCAAACCCTGAGTAAATGAGTCTGTAATTAAGGAACATAGCAGTATTTTGGGACTCGAAATTGCTCTATTGATCACTAGGGGTTTCGTTCACAACAGTCATGTCAGAAGCGTTCGAATTGGAAGATGAACCTAACGTAGAACTTAACGGCAGCATACACACCTACTGTATCTCGTTTTCGCCAACTCTGTCAATTCCTCCGACGACGTGTGCTGATTGGTTGACTTGCTTTATTTGCCTTKGTTTCATTAATTTAAAAAGGAAGGTGTAAGACTCCCGTTTCTCACTCTCCACAAATCAATAGTAACATAACCTTCAAAATGATTTCACTTGTTATGTAGGAAGTTAAAAGTCTTCAAAGGCGAAAATGCCTTTTCACATGAAGTAATGTTTCAAATACGAGTTGCTGTACGAGGATTTTGATACCCCAATGGAATACAGCAGGGGCGGATCGAGGGGAGGGGTGCAGGGGGTGCGCACCCCTCACTGGTTCCACTTTGTGCCCCAACCTCGAAGATAACCAATACTGTTTTTTCCTTTTGATTCTAAGGGGTGCACCCCTTCCTGGGTTAACTTTGTGCACAGCACCCCTCCCTGAACAAAATCCTGGATCCACCCCTGTACAGTGACGAGTATTTGACACGACATCTTATACTCTTTTTGTTATGTTTGTTTTTATTTCAAAGTCCGAGTAGTAGGACTTTGAAATATTTCAAAGTACTAGACTTTGGAAATGGGTGCGGTCGTATTTGATGGGGATTTCAAACTACTGCACGTGTTACAAATAAGAAACCCTGGTTAGTCGATGAGCTCATGCATAATTAATGAGTATAAGATGGATGTATCAAAATGTAAAATTGTTACTACAGTGGGTGTGTCATAAGCAAAATTAATAGAAAATAATGCAGTAATAAAAGGCCCAGCTAATCGTTATACTTCTGTTTTTCTTCCAAGGTGTATATGTCTGGTGGTGGAACTGGCTGACAATGCAAAGAACCACAAAGAAGTAGTGGAAGTGTTACCTCTGATAGCTAAAGCCGCTGGATACAGACATTATACTCAGCACCCATATTTACTAGAGACTGTATGTAAGCAGGTAGGTGTGGTGGTAGAGATCAGACATTACACACACCACCCATATTTACTAGAGACTGTATGTAAGCAGGTAGGTGTGGTGGTAGAGATCCGACATTACACTTATCACCCATATTTACTAGAGACTGTATGTAAGCAGGTAGGTGTGGTGGTAGAGATCAGACATTACATCTATCAGAAATCTTGCTATCCTTTGTACAACACCCTTTTGCCGTTTTTGTTTTTGTTTTGTTTTTGTTTTTTTCCAATCCTATCCCATTTTCTCATTTTCCTTCTCAAACCATACACACCACTCTAACCCTAATTTATGTCCTCCTTGTTTTATTTTTAGTTACCAGTCCTCGCTAAAAGGCTCGGCAAGAGGATGTTCAAGCAGTACTTGGAATTATTTTTCGAATCGATATTCTACAGTGTTGTAAGTCTAGCTACTTTTTTTGCATAATTTAAAAGACTTTCAGCGAATAGCTCTTATCGTAGTTGAGCACATCACTCCGACAAACCAGCGGCATTTCTGTGAGCGTAGAATCAAAACGAGGCTATCGGGTCGAGCTTCGAAGAGTTGGTTACGTTCAAGTATCTTTCCGAGAGGGCTAAGTTTCTACTCCTTATACGAAAAAATTCTTTATCACACCTCTAATCCGGCAAATAAAGTACGTTTAACATTCAATTTATTTGATTTCTTTTCGCACAAAAAAACTATCGGCCCAAATTGGCGGGTGTACCACAGTTTTTCGCGCCTGCAACAACTTTTTTCGAGAAGATTTGAAAGAAAACTCGTCATCGTGACAACGTTCTAAGGATTTTTTCCATTCTTTTTAGACCAGCGACAACAATTTGACGTCGGTTGCTGCGAGTGAATGTCTTTCACTGCTTGGTCAACTTCTTGGTCCCTCCATATTGAGAGGACGCGTAGAAATATACAATCCAAGGTAAGCCTTTGTTCTCATGGATTTCGAAAATCTGATTCCTTTCTCCCTCAGTTCATCAAAGCCAGTTAAAAGTAGTTTCCTTTTTTTCCCCTCAACTCTTCCATGACATCCTTCCGT